ACCTTGAGATAGAAAGGCTAAGGCAGAACTACTCAGTGTGTATACAACAATTCGCCTGGCTACAGCATTGTTGGTTCCTACCTCAATAGCTTCAGCCTTTATAGATTTGGAGATTTTGACTACAATTAAAAGTAATTAAAATGAATATGTAAATTAGTTGGTCAAGGTCCAAAAAAGAACAAACTGCTCTACAATTTCAAGGCTATGCAATTTCAAGAGACTTACTCTGCACCTGACATGCTAAACTAGGCTAAAATGCAACTGTGCTTCAGGTGAAACCAACCATTCTCTTAGCTTGTTTATGAACCAGGCCATCACTTTAAACCATATTATAGTTTGTTTGGGCACAGCAGGCTATTTAAGCCTTTGTGTTTTGTTAATTCAGAAGTTGTGCAAAGTCAGTCTTATAAGTCTTAAAAGCAAGAAAGTAAACACAGAAGTCCATGAAGTCTGGAATTATGACATGCCAAAGAAGTTTCAAATCTTCTTCATAAAAGCAAGTTACTTCAGGCAATGTAGAATTCATACTTTTATGAACATTATGAGGGAATTGCCTTATGCACTAGTTTAGACCATCATTGCCTGTTCTGAGTGACAACAGCTCTCTGGTTTGGGGCAGGAAGACTTAGAGAAAAGATCTCTAAGATCTTTTCCAACCCTTGCATTGCATTCTATAATTCTGTAAGTGACACAGATGAGTCTAAAGTGAGACTCAGCAAAATCAAAATGGTGTCTGCCACCACAAGATCAAAGCTCCATCCTTTTTTATGTGTGTTGTATTGCATGCTACCATCTCGACTTTTTTCACCCATCTCCCTTATGGACATCCCTGATGTTTCTGAGAACTTCTGGCTCTTAGCTTATGTTAGAATGAAGTAGATTTTGGCTGTACATCAAGAAAAAAATTCCTATTGATAAGAGCTGTTCAGAAATGGAATAGACTACCAGGGGAGGTGGTAGACTCTCCTTTGCTGGCAGTGTTTAAACAGAGGCTGAATGGCCATTCACTGAGCTGCAGCTCCCAACCCTTTTATTTCCTAGGAATACTCTGGGATTTATTTCCAAAAATATGTTGGAAATAGAGATCATAGTTCAGATGACAGTTTCCTATATTTTGAGAGTTTACAAAAACAGAATCAGGTGGAGCAGAAATGTGGCAGATGTCAATGAAGTATTGGTAGATCCTCTAAGTGTCCATAGGAGCCATGTTAGAAACTCAGAGATTACAACCAATTCAGGCAAAGTGCTTTAAGCAATCTGAAGTGAGACAGAGAGATTGATAGATGCTATATACAGTATATTACACGATCATCTACTGTAATTATCAGGAATTGTTGAAAGATCTATCTCAACCTGGTGCTTACCAGATGTTTTAGGTTACAACTTGCAATATCCATAGCCAACATAACCACATCAGGAGGGTAACAGGTGAATTATTTCTATATAGATGTTGTGATCCAATACTTGTTGACACCATTCCCAAGACCATAAAGCAGATTTTCTATCACCAGGCCCATACATGCACCCGGAAGGATTTTGAGAAGATGTACCCAGGTTTTCAGAAGTTCTGTTCTATCCGGGAGAAACTGGACCCCAGAGGAATGTTTTTGAATACTTACCTGGAGAGGGTCTTCTATTGAAGAAAATAGTAGAGAAGGTGGTGGTGACATGGACAAGCCCCTCACTAAGGAGTCTCTGTGGCTATTCTTGATGGATGGATAAAATTTCTTTGTTGGGATCTGATACCAATCCAAGCTGCCAAAAGCACATTCCTTTTGGACTGCCCAGAAGTCCATTTACATATGTTGGATAAATAGAGAAAAAAGTAACAGAAGGGGAGTATTTTTTTTAATCAATTAAAATACAAGCCACTGTTTCTTATTTTCTTAAGAGAAATGCAATGGTATGGCAATGATCGCCTTCTGCCAATTCTTTATTCACACACATTATATTGTGACCCTCCAAGCAATTGCATACTGCTGCCACTTCCACTCCATTCCCTAATTCCTAGAAAGTATTACATAATCTGCAGTTGTCTTCAGATTTGCCAATCTTGGTACGCTGATCATCATCAGCCTTCTCCTTTCAGAGGCCAACCATGTTATCCCTATTACTCTAGCCAAATTTTGTATGGCTGCAAAGAAAATGAGGCAACAACTGAGACAAAAATCATCAACTCATTTTATTTCACTTGCTTTATTATTTTGGGTTTAGCTGATCTTTGATTTTATGAAGAATTGTTTCAATCTTATTTCATAGATGAAGGAAGCATTCTCCTTGTCCACATGCATGATTTATTAGAGCATGGATCGTCTTTCTGTATGTTTTAGATTTCTATTCTAAAATAAAAGCCAGGTGGACCCACAATCAAAATCAAACATGGTCCACCTGTTTGACAGAGTTAGATTGTTTAATTGCTTCCCCTCTTCTGTTACCTCTCAAGAGTATCCTTTTTTTCTTTCTTACATTTTTAGAATTCTGACTCCTCCCCTCCAGTCTCTCCCTAATTTCAGCATCATGAAAAATGTTGGAAAGAACTTGCAGGAGTAATGTTAAGTTTGCTTTATGACACTTTAAATGTGTATTGCAAATGGAATGGGGGTTGGTGGTAGTGCTAGATCAAGGGTAGACAATTTTTGAATAATGGTAGATGGTGGAGTTGACTGAGAGCTGTATGTCAGTAAATATGGCTAGAATTGGTGGTCGATGAGTCAGAATTTGTACACCCTCTCCTTTTCACTCTACCACAACCCATGTACACATTGCCACCACTCTGTACACACAAAGTCAGGATCCACAGCTTGAACCTGGAAGTCACTTCAAAAAGTTGATTGCACTCTGTTAACATGACAGTGCAATCCCTTCTTATATCCACCCTGGTTTAAATCCAGCAGTTGTTTTTCCTGCCTTTTTCGTGATTTAATGAACACCTTGCTTTGCTTTTTTCCACCTTGGTGCTAGATAGCAGATACCTGTTGGCACAATCAGCATTCCTGCTCAGGGAAATTCTAGCTCTCACCACATACACCACAGAATGAAGACAGTGTTAATCCATGTCCCTTGTAGAGAGAAAGGTGGGGAGTTGATTTATGAGTAACAGCAAACAAATACTGGACTCCAAAGATATAGAAAACCTGCTGCAGTTTATTCTTCCCAGACCCTTAAATATTCAGGGTCAGGAGTGGAAAAAAAACCTATTCTCTTTGGAGTGTTAGCAGTCCAAAACCAAGCATACAAAAGAAAAATATTCAAACATAATCAAATCAAGGGAGAAAAATGGGACAGGCAGCAGTAGTCTGAGTCTTGATATCCTCCTTCACACCAGCAAACTCAGTGGGCCTCCCAGCCTCAGCAAACATGTAATTCCCTACTTGTGAAGAGACTGGCCCCTTCCTTTCCTCTTGTAAGGAATTCCAATAGAGGAACTAGATCTATTTAAAGCCTGACAAATGAGCCAGGTCCCTACCAAGCAGCACAGACAGGTGGGAGAATCTGTTAATACAAGCCTTGAAAAGGGAATTTCCATCACTTCCTCTGCAAGCTTCACTTTATCATTGTGCTCTGATATCTACCATCTTCCTTCATACCAGCTGTTTCTGCAGAGCAGCCTTTCCAATCCTCCCCATCAGTACTGGTGCAGCTTGCTGGCACATCAGAGGCAAGCTTGTAACAATGCAATTTGCAGGAGAATTGGGAAGAGGTGGCAACATTCGTTGAACATCTCCATTTGTCCTACAGAAGGTTCCCGAGTTATGCACATTGCCTGTAGAGTGCCTATACTGTCTACTAGCTGAAACCTTTTTTTAATCTAAAAATATTAACATTCCATCAGAGGCTACAGGAACAAAGTAAGACCATATCATCCTTCCAAAATATAAAGGTCAATACAATGCAAAATGCAACATTTGATTCTGCCTTGCATTAAACTGAATTGTTACTTTTGGATATCTTTCAGTTGGGCCAATTCACCTGCCTGCAAACTTTTCTTGATCTGCCTATGGTCTAGTGAAGGGTGGTTCATAAGAAATGTTTTATCAATATTTGCTTTCTATTCCTATAACACTCTGTCAACATTTGGTTCATTTGAATGAGTGAGTTCCTTAATCCTCAAAACGTACAATACTTTATCTACTCCACCCCAATGAATGTAAACTGGACTCTGACAGATCATTGTTGAAGGTGTTTAGTCAGATTTGGACAAATATTTTCCAAACTAAACATAAAGATAACTCCCAAGCAGTTTCAAAGTATACACACAGGAGTAGTCAAGGCCTTCTTATAGAACCTGAAAGACTGGATTTTGCCACAATAATATTTAGGAGAAAGTACTCTGCAAACTAAGCTTTTCCTGCTATGTATTTGGCCTGACTCCTTCCTGAAAGTAGGGATATTGGTGTTCTTTTGATAGCTATATTAATTCCCTTTCCCACGATGCACTAAACTGTTAGGGAGTCAAACAAGCTAATGCCTTCTTCCCACTCCATACTGTTTTTTTTTATTTTCAAATCATGTTTCTGTAGCTAGGTTATTGAATATATTCTGGTAGGTACTGCACAGTGAACCACATTGGACAATCATCATCATCATCATCATGGAGGAATTGGTATACTATATTCCCAGTCTTATTTTTGAGCTTCCCCATTTTATTTTCAAGTTAATTAGCGTGTTCAAGTGCACCATGAGCATTGTCACAGTACAGGATGTTTTCTAAAGCAGCTCAGAACAAGGTTGGCCTCTCTTCCAAGGAGCTTCCAATCTCCATTTTAATAATGGCAGACTTGAAAAGGTGATGTTTATTTATTTATTCATTTAATGTATACCCTGCCTTTCTGCTTATATAAATACTCACTCATCTTATATAAGCATTTGTTCATGATAGACAGAAGGAAAAGGAGATGCAGAAATGGATGTGAAAATTACATTTGGCATAGGTCATGATGCTTACTTAGCTATTATTATTTCGTATGATTCAACCATGTATCCCAATTTTAGGTATCCACCCATTTTTCTACTTGTTTCTTTAATTCTGCATTCAGATACATTGTATTCATTTCTAAGTGCTTTCAGCTGCAATTGTTTACTCAGTTATCTGGAAATTTCACTGAATACATAAGTAAACATATACAGAATTGAGCTGTTGGAATCCCTATAATATTCACCCTCACAACATTCCTATGAAATACACTGAGACCATTTCCTTTCTGCAGTTCATAAACTGAGGCTGGGAAACAATCCAAGGCCACATGGCAAGTTCCTGGCTTCACAAGGTTTTAAAACCAAGATATCTGTTAATTGATTCACTATGGAAATAAAGCCATGATAAATCTGTCAACTATCCACGTGATTCTTAATCCTTGTCCAAACACAAACTCTTCAGGGAAAGAGACATTTCACTTAACAACAACTGAACGAATGCCTTTTCTTTTTGGAGACTAAATCAGTGGTGATTCTGAGGTTCTCTTTTCTCCATCTTCTTGCTCTGCATCAGATAGATAGCTGGATGATGGAACTTCCCAGGGTTGACTTTCAAACAGTGGTGATGCTGGAAGGGATTGAGAGATTAAATAATTAAGCTCAGTATTAGTGAAAGAAATTCCCACCTTCGTCCTATACGTTGCACTTAAGTGCATACAGTCAGATCAGAGACCTATCTACTTGAGCATTCTGTTTCCTGCAAGGGTCAACCATTTTAGGAAGTAATTATATGGGATGCAAAACAAAGCAATTTCTCTTCTGTCATCTACAGCATTCATATTCAAAAGAGATCCAGATGGGCCCTCCCCAAAGTTCAAAACAAGACACAAACATTAGAGCAGGCAGCACCTCCATTTTCTCATCATCCCCCTCTCCTTTTCAACCACTCACCCCATCTTTATTTTAAACAAACAACAATTTACTGACTTGGTGAGCTTCTGCTAGTTCGGGTAAAGGCTTTCCTTCCTTTCTCACTCAGCTTTGGGACTGGCTTTCGGGCAGGTGCAGGACGTATCCCAGCATTCCACTGAGCACTCTGAGAAAATATTTTAGCTGTTGATTTAGTCAGAGGGCAGCTGTTTGGCTGATGCATAGCCCAGCTTGGGCGAACTGAAACTTCTGCCTGCGAGCCAAGTTCTGCTGAGAGGGACATCTAGGAAACAAGGTAGATAAACATGAAATTTGGAACATAGCAAGTAATGAAATTCATGGTGAACATGCAAATGTTCCAATGGAAATGAAGCTTTGACTTCCATGGTTTTAGTGATAAAGTTGAAAAAGATAGATGAACTCAAAGAGATACCTTGCACTGAGCCCAGATTTGGCCGCTGATTTGTCAAGTATTTTCTGCTAAGGGATGTGGGTGGGTGTATGACAGAGTAAATGATGCTAACTGCTAAAAAGCTCTTGGAGGTAGCAAACTTGGGAACATGAAGGGCCATGATTACACCAAATTGCCCTCCAACCATCTAGTATGGAATCCTGAAAATCTCAACTTTTATGATCCTGGGCCTCATAGTGTGCAAGGGGTATAGTCATCCATTCCTAAGCACAATGATACCAAAACCATGAAATGCATGTTGTGATGTCACAATGCAAGCTCTTTTTGTACTTGTATCGTAACATTGCATACAATGTGCATAATTTGTGTTGTGATGTTCATTTCATCATTTACTTCCCCTTGACCCCGCAGACACCCCTGATGAGGAGGGGGAAAGTGTGTGTTCAGTTTTTGCTAAGAATTAGAAAGTAAAAATGGCAGTAGAAAGCGACAGTTCCAGCTGCATCATCTGGCATCTTCATATCTCCAGATGGGGCAGGAGACAAGGCAACTGGGGACTTCTCTCCATCTCTCCTCAAGCCCTCTTACAGTAGATACCTTTTCCCACCTAATATGCTATAATCAATTAGGCCCTGGGTTTGCCATATAGTTAACAGGAAAGGAGGCAAGAGAAAGGCAAGAGAAAGTATGAGTAGGAGACAACTCTTACCAAATTGTGAGGTTTAATTTATGCAAACAACACTTCCTGCCTGCCCCAAATATTATTTTGAAATGTGCAACAGGTTTAAGGCTATAGTGCTATACATATATATATGAGTCCACTGAATTCTGTAAGACTGGTTTCCAAGTACTTAATTTATTTGCTTTTTGTAATCATTTATTGAGAGTCAGTTTGGAGTAAAGGTTAAAGGAACTAGGCTAGAAACAGATACCATAAATTCTAATCCTGACTTAGACGTGAAGCCAGTTGACTGTCTCTGGACCAGTCACTCTCTCTCAGCCCTAGAAAGAAGGCAATGGCAACCCACTACTGAAAAATGTCAACAAGAAAACTGCATGAACTTCTTCATTTAGTCACCAGAAGTCAAGACTGACTTGAAGACAGAAATATATATATGTATGTATGTATGTATGTATGTATGTATGTATGTATATATCTGGCAAATTTGCCAGCTATTCTGCAATATGGGGATTATACATCACATCTGCTGCTAGAGACCTGTCTGGAATTCATATGACAATAACACTGAGGCAGCACTGGCATGTCACAAGCAGCCGAAAACCCTAGCTGGGCTTTCTCTTCTGTGTATTGGGGAGGAACATCTGTTTCTCCTATCCATTGTTGTTTGACTGGAGAGGCTAACTCCCCAGCATGGATTCTCCTTCCCAACATGCATTGAGAGCTCCTGAAGCTATTTGCAAACTATAGGCGGTTAAGGACAACATGGAGGGAAAGCAGTCTGGGTTAGTATGTACCGGGAATGGCTTGCAAATCTATAGGGTGTGGTACTATAGGCTCAAAGTAATACAACCAAACGTGGCAGTCCAGACCAGCCAAACAAGATAACAAAAGCATTATGGAATGCTCACTTGGAAAAATAAAAATCTTTACCTGGCAATCAAAAGATATCAAGTATTTTTATATTTGATTCAAATGATAAAATTCATGTGTTTTAAGAAAGGGATCTTGCATGAGTCGGCTTGACAGCCTACTGAGAGCCTTTAAACAAATTGGGGGAGGGGTGCTTAAAGTGGATGCAACTATGAAGAATGTTTTGATACTTTCTTTGTCTTACAAATGAATTACAAATATCTGGAAAAGAATGGATGAGAATTTTTTCCCCTGGGGAAAACAGCATGATCACAACATGCTAGGTGGAAAGAAGAATCTTGGAATTGTGTTCTACAGCAGTTTGGATAAACTCTAGATTCTTAGAGCAGAGACTAAAATCTTTGACTTTTGGCTTTACTGATATAAAGCCAGTTTATTCAGTTCAAGATCAGAATCTCAATAGGTGATAACACCTAGCTGAACTGGTCTAGGCTACAAAGCTAAGCAGGGTTGGAACTAGTTACTACCTGGATGGCAGACCATCAAGGAACACTAGGGCTAAAAACTAGAAGAGGAAATTGAAAAAAAATCTTTATCTTACAGGGTCAAGAACTTATATGTCTCACTCATAACAGGAAACAGATTGAAAATTAATGGTGTTTGCATATTCAGAATAGGCAGCAATAATTCTTTATGTCCATGCATCTCTGGCTATGACTGCTTTTGGCTTTGGATTCAGGTTTCCCCTAATTGTTCATTTATTAAATTATTTCTTTTTCTATAACAATAATGATGAACAATTGTTAGAAATAATAACATCTTCAGAAATGCAGTTATCTCTCTGAACCAAATAACTATTTGGAACAAAAAATCCTTTTAAACTATTAAAACACATCTCATTACACAACATTAAGTTTTGAATGTTATAGCAAATTAAAGCTTTGGAAGACTCTAACTTGTCCTGAATGACCTGGTGTGCCTGTGCATTCTTTTCAAACTCTCATGCTTCAGTCCTCTTCCCACCAGAAGCAGATAAACAGATCATAGAAGCCCTATCATAATTTATTGTGCTGTCTGAATTGGGGTCCCTGGCTTATTTCTCCCCATATCAAGAAAAAAAAATCTAACTCTAGCTTACAGCTCCAGGGTTTTGGTTCAGATGCCATAAAAGGATCATGAAATAAATGTCCATGTTTTGTTCACCTGTTCCACTTGGCAGGAAAAGCCAAGTGGAAGCACGTGACCAGTATGCTCTCTCATCTGTCTCATTCATGATATGCCAGAGTTGTTTCACATATGGTCGGTTTGGGCTCCCACAGTGCTACTGGCTCAAACAACCAGGAAGATTGAAAGAGGCCATTAAGTCAAACCTTGGGTGTTCAAGATATCTGTAGGTTATAAAATGCAATGAGTATTATCCATGTAGCTTGTGTGTCACCCATCATGATGTAAACTTGACTGTCACTGATTCTGTGCTAGAATCCTACTTTGAGACATGCACAGGAAGCCATTCATGTTTTCTTTATCAAACACATCTTTGTATGGCAGGGCATTCTGTCATGGCATGTGATTTCAGACCCAAAATTTGAAGTGATACTTCACAGATATTGTTTATTAACCTCAATGATAGCTAGTGCTCAGTAATGCAAACCAAAAAGTACATTCATCAACAAGACCTACAATTTCCAATCAGAAGTAGACATTCTTTAGGACTGCAGTCTTAATTTATTTGCCTAATATCTTCCCTAGCACTGTAAAAAACCCAGGACAAGAAAACACTTTCTCAGGAACTCATTATGAAGAGATTATGGCAGATAACAGCTTCCCTGCCAATAGTGTTTAAGTCTGGAAAGGCTAATATCAACGTTTTCCATTTCCTTAGCATTTGGTTGAAGAGGCTGGAGTTAGAGACAATATGTGAATGACAGATATTAATTTGCCTTGACTAAGAAAAAAAAAGATGATGGCAGATAGCAATTGAAAGAGAAGCAGATGGGCATGCTAGAGCTTAAAATGTCAAGGATACTGATGCTACATGACAGGACAGGATGTGGCAGGCAGAATAGGAACCTGCTCCTGCCTCTCTGCCCTCAGGAATAGATGTAGCACATAATGGACAGTGGAAAGCAAATGCTCCAACAGGCTGCATATACCTGATTCCCACAATCCTGTGTTCTTGACAATTCAGCGTTAGGATGCTAAAGGAGAAGGAAGTAAAACATGTTAATCCACAAAGCCTTGGTGAGGATCTTCAGAGTGGGGAAAATAATAGGCACTTGAAGGCGTCCTTTGGAATTCAATCTTTTGAAGGGTTGTTCTGAAAGGTTATTCTTGGGATTCAGCAAGCAAATATTGGGGATTTCATTTCAACACTGAACCAATAATCAACACTGAATTATTTATTAATTACAAAGACTGGATAACCCACTCTTCAAATAAATAACAAATGACAAAATCATTTATGATGGACAGTTCAACAGAAACAGGTAACAAAATCCTAAATATATCTACACTGAAGATATTTCATAGCGGCCAATGGGGCTTGGACCCATGTAGGTCTCCATGATTTCAGCTTAAATTAAATCTTTAATAAAACAAAGATGAAATGTTTCTATACTCTCTCCTTAGAATGATCAGAAATGCCATATTGGTTTCAATATCTTCAAATAAGTAGCATAATTCAAAACAGATTACTAAAACAAGGTGGAACGCTCAGAGACCTGATCAAATTAAAAAAATAACAACACAAAATTCAGAAGCCTGGACATATTTATAAGTTGTTACTGGAATACAGTTCTGACACTGAACAAGTCAAAGGCTGAATGATTAAATGGATGCAGAATCTAAGCAGGACAATTGATATGCAACAATGGGAATACCAACGGAATATAAATATTAAATTTACTGCAAATATTACATCCAGAGCAAATTGATACGCTATGTTTTTTTGTTGATATTATACCCCAGTGTTGGTTACTAGAATAAATAATTGATATTCAAAAAACCACAATAATCAGATTGGATCACTTTTCACACTTGGTGGCAATGTCATAAAACTCAACAATTCTGGAAGATGGTTCATCACATAATGAAACAAATTTAAATGCTGTCTTTTCTTTCCTGCCAGCTGTTTTTCTGTTAAGCATTACTAAGAATTATATTCCTACAAAGTTTATAGAGTTGGCTCTGTATATGGCAACAGCTGCTAGAATACTGTATGCTTCTTACTAGAAATTGCACATAATTCCTTCTTTAGAAGAATGGCAGATTAAACTATGGAAATATGCATCTACCCAGAGTCACTGGGAGTTCAGCAGCATATAAATTCAATATATTATTATTATGCATGTAAAAATAACCATATTTACAAAACAAGTCTGACAGTGAATTTAACTTGGAAACCATTTGTATATCCAGAGTTTAGGTTTCTCTTAATAAATGGCTTTAAAATATTAGATCTTGCCTAATTCATGTTAAGGACAAATTTCTTCAGATTAGATAGAAAATCCCATTAATTACTTATTTTGATTGATAATTCTTGATATAGTGGCTGCCATAGCTAATTATTGAATACTGATTTGGTTTTTAAGTGCTACATTGTCATAAGATCATTTGATGTGCAGTACTAATCTATTGTTACTTTTAAAATTCTTATTCAATTTGTTTAGCTTGTAAAACTCTTTTCTGATTCTTTTTCATTCCTGTATTGCTTTTTTCTTATATTTCCTTTAGTTGCACAAAATCTCTGATTAAAATAAAATAAAATAAAATAAAAATATATGGAAAAAAGAAAGAAAAGAAAGAAAATACTATTCCAAAACAGAAACCAGTTGACCTCTCTGTTGTATCTTGTCCTTACCATTCCATAGATCAGTCCCTGATGTCTTAACATGCCCAGTCTCTCATATCCTTTGCCTGAACTCTACACATCATAAATCCTCCAGCAGTTAATTTATTTAGAAATGTATAAGACCACCCAACTCCACAATGGCTCTGGGCAGCATACAGTAAAATAAATTAGACAATACAATTAAAAAAACCCAAAACATCAGAATAAAAACAACCATTAAAAGACAATCAAACATGCAAGACCTACCATGCACTCTAACCCAAGGCCTGGGGAAAGAGCCTTCAGAGGCTTTTTTGAACATAGCCAAAGTGGGGACAAGATGTATGGAGGATGGGGGAGTGTTCCAGTGGGTAGGTGCTATGACATTTCTTAGGTCCCATCAGGTAACACTGCTTAATAGATGGGACCCAGAGCATGCCACTTGGACAAGTGTCAGCATTATCTAGTCAGTCTGAAGTTATATTGTGTATTGTCTGCATATTGATTATATCTGACCCCAAATCAGATTTACAGGCCTCAAGTAGATGTTAAACAGAAGGGGTGAAAGTGTAGTGCCCAGAGGTACCCCACAGACCAGGGGCCTTGGGCTCAATCTCTTCTCTCCTGACTGACTAGACCAATCACAGAGAAAGGAGGACAACCACTGCAACACTGTGTCTCCCACTCCAAATCCCTGCAGGCAGACCAGAAGGATACCACAGCTGATGAGATTGCAAGCCCCTGAGAGATCAAGAAGAATCATGATGGTTGTCCTACCTCCACTAGAGGTCATTAATAGATGCAGTCACTGCTCTCCCTGTACTATGCTTGGGCCTGAAATGTGACTGAAAGGTATCCAGATAATCAGTTGACTTCAGGACCCTCTGTAGTCGCTGTCCACCACTTTCTCAACAACCTTCCCTAAAAAGGAACGGTTGGAAACTGAATAAAAATTCCCTGGTACAGTTGGGTCCAGAGAAGGCCTTTTGAGGAAGTGGTACACCACTGCCTTCTTCAAGACTGCAGGGACCACATCTCCTCAGTGAAGCCATGATTACAGCATGAACCCAATCATCTATCACCTCCCAGACAGCCTTCACCAACCAAGAGGGGCAGGGATCTAAAAAAAAAAAAAAGTAGTCAGGTTAGCAGACCTGAGATACTGACCACCTCTTCAGGATTTACAAGTTCAAACCTATCTCAGTTAACCACCCAAGATCTTGCTTCTGTCATCTCAAAAGAACTGTCCAGTCAGAGTCCGAGTTATTTTATCTGCCAGATGCCTAGAGTATTCCTTACAGAGGCCCCGTGGATGATCCTGCCACTCATCCCTCCCAAACAAGCAATGGGTCACTTTAAATAGGGCTGCCAGACAGCTATCTGCACAGGAAGAGCAGAAAAATAGCTATGTTTTGCTGCTCTTATCACCACAATGTAATCCCAATATGGGCTCTTACTTGTGCTCAGTTGGACTTATTCTTTATTTTCCTCCAACAGCACTCTTCACGTCTCTTCTCTGTTTCATCTCCTGGAGTTCCTCAGAAAACAAAGGCACACCCCAGGACTCAGGGGTAGTGAGATGAAACATAAGTGCAATCCAGTCTAAAGCCCTCATCACTTGGCTCATTTGGGAGGTGGGGGGGCATTCAGCATCTAGCACTTACAGTAGTTATTGTGGAATAAATATCAGAAGGGAGAATACTGAACATCCATCCCTTAGGGATTTAGTCCAAGGAATCTGAATACAGATTGGAGTCAGATTCTCCTGAATACTTTCCAAATGCAGATGAAATAAGGCAATCAATCTATTAGTCAGGAGATCAGTTTTCTTTTGTCAATGCACTGCTGTTCCCATCTTGGCAAAATATCATTAATGAAGAAAAAAAATCACAAAACTTAATTACGCTCTTCAATAGAATATACAACTTTTTTCATGACTTTACTCTGCACACTTACGAGAACATCCTTCCTATTGCCTATGTCTTTAAAAGCTGATCCCAAGGATACCTCTCTGAGCCCTACCCTCCTAAAAATATTCTGATATGCAAAGATTAAATAGCAGCTTTGAAGTCTGATGGTGTAAATTGTAGGCTGCTAGACTCAAACAGCAATGAACTGCAATGGGGCACAAATAAAGGGGCATTGGGAAAGCTGCCAATAGCCAAGGGCTGGAATCCTTACTGAGTTTGTTGCTCAACCTACACAGTCAAGCAGTCACAATACTTGCCAGAGACTTAGCTTTTCGGAGTTTGTATGTTCCACTGCCTGGTTTCCTCTTTTTCTGAAAGGCTGACTGACTGAGGTCTGGGGTGAGACCTCCTCCTTTTCTTCTACTGCAAGAATGGAGAAGATGAATATATCAAACAAAGCTAAAATGGCTTCTCAAGACAGAGAAGATGGGGAAGTTGTATTTGTGTATCAAAAGATACCTGGGCCTGCAATAAGACTGGTTGGGACAAAAGCCCCAGCTGTGACATGAGAGTATCCTGATCTCAATAAAATTGAGAAGGGATGCATGCATGAGGGCTTAAGAGCAGATATGCAGATGGTTCAGGATTCTGTCTATAATTTTAAAAATTAGTTTTGTAATCCATAACCTGGAGTTGGCTTGTTTTGAAAATGACCACAGCATGTGATAAACCATGATATCTGGATTTTCCAAACAGGAAATACATGCATGTAATAGAAAAACCAATGCATAGTGTCAGCAAACAAATGTGGCCACTGAATTAGATCCTTACTCCTACCACGACCAAGAGTTTCTCACCATCACCCTTTCAATATGGATTTATCCCAACCATCGCCCATGCTGGCATGGGACAATCTGTTAGATCCATCTAAATGCCTAAGTAATTAGATGCCTAAATAAAAAGCAAGACAAAATAAAGTTTTATCCTGCTGAGAATCAACTTTAATAATACGAAGAAGGAAGTATACAGTATATTTTCAAAGTTCATTCCATGAAAACTTCAGCTTGCAGTGCTAGTACCAGCTGGATGCAGAATGATTTATTATGCTCATTCTGATCTGAAAATATCAGACAATTAAAATATCAGACAATCTTGGTGACACCCTTGGGCTACTGTTGCATTATAGATTCTTAGCAATGCTCAGTGTCAGAGACACAAAGATAGATCTAGCACAACTAGGGATTTTACTCAGTGCTCGGAGCTGCTCTATACATATCTGAAGAAGACAACACAATGCTTCTATGATCTTCTCCAGAATTCTGGTGGCATCCAGGCTTAGCTAAAACATCTGAGCAGCCACAAAAACGTCATGTTCTACCTGACTGAAATTAAAGTCCAACTAAGGTGTGCCATTAATCATGAAGGGACATACATGGGGAGATAGCAAATAAAAGGTTTGGCTTTTGAGGATAAATAGGAGAATCTTTTCACCAACTCCTACACAGATAGCAATGTAATATCAAACGTAACAAAGTTAGTTTTGTTGCCACAGACAGACACAGAATAAAATTACTGTAGGAGAAAGGTGTCTTACGCCTGCCTTGCCTGCTCAATGGGATCAAAGTTATCCAAGTAGTTGAAACGAATGATATCTGTTGGATGCTTATCTGATGAACGCCAAGGTGGGAGCTCTCTCTTCTCCTTGTTTATCTTCCTTCTTAATAGAGATGCTGACTGGAGGACTGACAACAAAGACTGTTTCATTTCTGGGACATCTTTTGTTATTGGCTGAACATCAGCCACCACAAAATCATCTTTTGATGGGGTCTAAAGGGAGGGGAAAAAAAGAAAGCAAACCCCATGCTGTTATAGATATTCCATACTATGTTGAGTCTCTCCCCTAATGTCCCCCACAGTATTTCTATTCATTGCTTGAAAACTGTAGTGCACTAGTTCAGCATAAGTCACAGTCTCTCTGTTACAGATTCTGAAGGCACAAAAGAACTAGACAAAGTGGCTCTGTTTATTTAGTCCACTATTCTACTTCTATCAATGGTCAGTCCAAGATTCTCCCTCTCCAACTAGAGACGAAAACAAAACTTCTCCCCCTACATTTTCTTGCTAGGTACCAATATTTCAATGCACATAAATTCTGATTGTATAAATTTTCTTTAGCTGTCATGACCAGTAGTCCTTGACAAATATATCCATGTGAAATTGTCTTTAGGTTTTAAAGCAAAGCAAGCCAGTAGTCATCATTACATTTTGAATGTCACCCATTCTTTACATATTGTGTACGCCCAGAACCTCTGGCTATTCTATTTATGGATAATCTCAAATTATATCACTAGAAATAAAACTGAGTTATATTGGATCAAACCTCCAGCTATTTCAACATCATCTGATCACAATTTTTTTCCAATACCACATAAATTTGCTAGGGAATACACATGGGCCATCTCTGTGCAAACTATGTGCTCTACCATCAAGCCATAGACCTTCCTTTAAGGTTAACATTACCATGCCTTTATATAAACCCTCTCAAGCACCAGCTCAGATATCTGTACATGAGTTTTCAGAAGATTAGACATCTTGTGAGAAAATTCAGACTTTCAGAACAGCATGTAGTACAGTCCTATGAAACTGCTCCACTTTAGTATGAGATTATAAGCCTAAATGTTTTCCACATTTATTAAAACAAACCTGCATATGCATATTTTAAACATTCAGTATAAACTTTCAGATTTATTTCCCAAAATACCTTAGGCTGCACAAATACCTTAGGTTTGGTGACTTGAAATTCTTCTACCTTCTTAACATAGTGTTTTTTCCAGATTCCTTGCTCAAATGGAGTTGGAGAGAAATTGATGTACCACCCAAAGCGCAGACATTTTGGCATCCAGAGCTGATCAAGCTGGGTTAAGTAGTTCCAATGCCAATTTACCTGAAAATGCCAAAGTACCTTTATTGTGTTTCAGAGGGCTGTATCATAGCAAAAACCCATGAGCAATGGGGCATAATCCAAATACAAAAGATATGTTGACATTTTAAAAACACAATGCTGTTGTAACTCAAATTGGTAATTCTAAGGAAGTATGTATTTGAATATATATTCTTTGATATAACCTAGACTCTGGACTGTTGAAATATGTGTCATTGCTACATTTCATAATTGCATATCTTCTAAATTGCAGTATGGGGGTACATGTATTTCCTGCAATTATTTTGGTCAATGCTACTCCAAGGACGATTTTACAGCATAACTGCATCAATAAGAAAAAAGAATTATTGTTGAGTACTTACATCTGTTTTAATTTACATACAAAGCTGTCTAGCACTGCATTAGGTCATTGGTCTGACTGAACAAATACTGTCTGTTCTCACAAGCAATGATTTCCAAATTTTTTTCCAGCCTTGATCACCCAAGTCTCTTTTAATAAGAGAGCCCACATCTTCTGTACATAAAGCAGGTGTTCTAAAAGGATGCTAAAAGTCTTCCTGTTCACCAGTAAAGGCTACCTTACAACCCAGTCTGGTCCCATCTAGATGTATTAAATTACAATTGCCATGATCTTAAGTTAGCACAGTTAGCAGTCATTCTAGCCAGCCATTACTAGAATTGTATCCATCCAGAGGATTTTAAGATAGGGAAGGCTGTAACCCTAGCCCAGTATTGTTTACTCTTGACATAAAATAGGTTTCCAAGGTCATAATTGAAACATATATTTTGAGAACATTTTAATTGGATTTGCCAGACATTAGATCCACAAACTTTGGAACATAAATTATGCATGCTGATCAGCCTGAACAATGAGTTGGAAATTCATCAATGCCACTGTATCTCTAAACTGATCTTCCAATTATGTTCAAGTGTTGTAAAATCACTAGCTGGAAAAGACCCAAATAATTCATCTAGTTCCCATGTCCCCCAGCAAGCCATGTAGGAGTTGACCAACCTTAGTGTGAAAAGCTACACAAAAGAAATTACTCAGAACTTCCTCACTCAGCTCATTCCACTGACAAAGTGCTTTTCTAGTAGGAACTACTTCCTAAACTATAATCAATATTTATTAACTGAGGACAGTTCTTTGTGCCTTATTCTTAGCAAGTAGCATAGGTAACTGTTGTTTTCCCTCAGCTCCTTTAAAAATGTGAAATCTGTTATCATAATCCCCTTAGCTTTCCCCTCTCTAGGCTAAACCTACCCAGTGATTTCAGCTTTGTATCTCTCCGCTGCATCCTTTCCAACATGCTGAGTTTTACCTGGGCACATCGGGAGAGACTTCGAGGATCCAGAAAAGAAAAGATGTACAAAGTTAACACTCGGGGAAGCTGGGTGGTGAAATCCAGTGCTTCAACTGGCACTCGATCCTGCAGCAGTTTGAAACAGAATTTCAGCTGTGAAAGGGAGCAGCGCTCCAAGAAGTCTGTCAGGACTCTTCGCCTTTGACTGTCTGTCCATTTGTCAAACTATGAGGAAAGAGGTGAGTTGTGATTTTTCATGACATCTGGGGACAGCCATTCACAAATGACTTTGCCATTATTATGGTTTGCAAGCAATAAACTGCAGAACCAATTATGCACTTAAGCTAATTCCAAAAGCAAAAGAGATCTCTGCAAATTTCCTTGCTGCAAAGGGCAAGGATGTTTGCCAAGAATTCATTTAGGTCACATTCTGCCTCAAACAGAGGTTGTCTAGGTGTTTATGGATAGCTTATAAGCATGATAAAAAAGGATGCATTTTGCTCTGCCCTCAACATTGTTATTCAAAAGTAGGCTGCACTTTTTGACTGAAATCAGTATCACAGAATCCAACGAGTTGAAAGGGACCGTTTAGGTCAAGCTCCTAAAGCATCCCCCACAAATTACTTTCCAGCCTCTGCTAGAACACATCCAGCTAAAGAAAGGTCACC